TGATTATTCATGAATGTCATACAGAATTCGGATGGCCTCAGCTATCTATTCCTACATGGTCTTCTCACTTCCATGCACCCTGGGTTAATCTAACAGTATAATTATATGCACCAGAAAGACTCTCCGTGTCTGCTACATATGGCCTTTGTTTATTTTCTTGTCCGGATGAGATTTTCATTTCCGAGCTGCATGTCTCGATGGCTTAGATGCAAAGCATGTCTCACGGCTGCAAATCCCTGTGTATGACACCAGAACTGCTTGATATTCACAAAGGCTGACAGGGCTAATGATGGCTTTCCCCTGGATGTTTACAGAGACATTTGTTGGTTTGCATTGCAGTGGCATTTCCAGAAGAGAGGCGTTGTTTACATTTTGATGTTTAACATCTTCGGGAGTGTTTTTCTTTTCTTTTTCTTTTTGATCTGTTAAAGGACAGCAAAATAGGTAGGAAAACACTTAGAGAATGTGTGTCCCTAAAAGACACACATTCCATCTTTTGCATTTCCTTCTATCTTCTAAAAATATATGCATGTTTCTGCCTCTGAGGGTGAATATTTCATTAGGAAGCACGAGGGGGTGTATTTTTTTTACTTAATTTTTTTATTTTTACTTTGCAATACAATTCAGTTCTACATATCAGCCACGGATTCCCTTGTTCTCCCCCCTCCCACCCCCTTCCCCTTCCTCCCAGCCCACCCCCCATTCCCACCTCCTCCAGGGCAAAGCCTTCCCCGCGGACTGAGATCAACCTGGTAGACTCAGTCCAGGTAGGTCCAGTGAGGGGGTGTATTTTAAAGTCAGATTTCCAAGGACCCCCGTCACTATTGTATTCATATCTCTGAAATCCTAAGTAGGAAGGGTGTATAGATTTGTGTTGCTGAAATCCCCCATTCTTTCCTTCCAAAACTTGTCACAATTAAATATTTAGGTCCCTTTGATGATGGGAAGGGAACTTGATGGTCTGATGGAAATACTGCAGGGGGCGTATTCTCTTGTGCTCTTCCTGGTAGTAATGAGCTGTCAATGCACCACGTAAGAGCACATGGCCTCATCTCTTCGTGTGCAGGGGGTATTAACACTTCAGCCTCACTGCGTTGCCACATGGATCACTAGTATGTACCGGGATTGCCTTTGTATTTGCTTCAACCAAAGTTGTTGTTCAGTTACTCCCCAAGTTTGGCAGACATTTGCTTTGTTTGGGGGTAAATGGAGATGGGTAGGTGGATGAGGGAAAAGCAGGGAGGCTGTATCATGCCTGACATTGTTCTCACATGTACATCAACATGTTTGCTGCTGATGTTTATAAGGGGGTCACAGAAATGACTAGAACATGGAGCTAGCATGTTTTGTTTTTTTTTTCCAGTACCAGTTTGAACTCTGTTTTCCAGTAAATTAAACTGAACCCAGAGAAGTAGTACACCTTAACTCAAGGAGCTAATCCATAACTGAGCTGAGTGTAGAACTGAGGTTTCTTGGTTCCTAGTCCAAAACTCTCTTCAATACATTTCTGTAGAGATAACGATCCATTTTCAAAAATTAGAATCTGCTAGGGCTTTCATGCTGAATAATGGTTAAGCTATTGTTGCTAAAGTTCTCCGTGTGAAGAGAGATGAGCTGAAAGCATAGTTAAACATCATCTGAGGATGGATGCTGGTACACTGGCCAGTATTTCTGGTTTTGGAAGGCATTATGAAATGACCATGTTGAAATAAAGGAAATTTTGTGTTTAGTCCTGAATCTGAAAAACAAACTAAAGCATCTATTTCTAAATTTTTCAGAAGTTGTCTTGTAACGACCTCTAGGTTCATGAACTGTGACTTTGCCATCTAAGAAGTGTGTTGATGGCTGTACTCTGAGTGGAAAAATATTGTAGCACAACTAAGAACCTCAAATGTACATCACAGTTTAGTTCAGTAAAGGGCTGAAGCAGACTTGGGGGGTCATGGATTCAGTTCCTTGGTGTCTAACCTGATCCACCTCTGTGTGTCACAGACCTCAAATGGGGGCGTGCACTTCTGAGAACTTCGAACAGCTGCGTATGGAAAGTGATTACGGGGAAATTAAAGCTAGAATTCTAATATCAGTAGTTTTAGCAAGAGCCTTCATTTTATTCCACTCAGCATCTAAATGGAAGTCTATAGAGCAGTAGTTCTCAATCTCTGGGTCATGACCCCTTTGGGGGGGCTCTAATGACCCTTTCACAGGGTTCACCTAACCATCAGAAATACAGATATTTACATTATGATTCATAACAGCAGCAAAATTACAATTATGAAGTAGCAACAAAAATAATTTTATGGTTGGGGGTCACCACAACATGAGGAACTGTATGAAAGTGTCACAACATTAGGAAGGTTGAGGGCCACTGATATAGGAGATAATGTAGGAAACACAAAAGGCAGGTAAGTCATTGAACAAGCAGCAGATGCTTTAAAAGGGAACAAAAGATCAGTGAATCAGAATTTACACACACACACACACACACACACACACACACACACACACACACACACACCCTTGTGCATTGTCTATTAATCTACCTTAGCATTTTGAGAAGGTTATCTTGCATTGCAATAGTCATTGACCTGTTCTCCACCATTAGGATTTTAAATGTCACAGCAGCAGCACTAAGCTCCTATGGGTGCTGTGAGCATCCAAATACTCCTGAAATAAAGGTGCCAAGATGCATCACAGGCTTTGGTCACAGTCTTTCTGTCCACTTCGGTACCATTCTGGAGAGAATTCACTGAATGTGATGACCATGGAGACTCTATTCATGCCCGCTTGCCAGCCGCTGCACAGCTTCTAGCACCGGGTCCAAGTGGAGAGGAAGTAGAGACCTTGGTAAGACACTGGCTGGACACCTAACCTTCATCATCTCTCAAAATCTAGTCTGGAAAAGAAGGACTAAGTTCAAATGAGGAGAACAAAACGTCCCATGGCTTGCAAACCCAGTCCTCAGGTGCAGATCTGTACACATTGTGGATAAATCCCTTTAGTACACAGCACTAGAACAGGATGACTCATTTACCAGGTGTTTCAGCCGTGAGATGCAATGCATGTGTTAGCTGAGAGAGAAATCCAGCGTGTTATACATAGGAACTACATTACTTAAAATTAGACTAGCTTAGTGTGCTCAAGCAACAATGTCCAAACACTTCTCTTTGCTAATGAAAAGATTTTTTTTTTTGTGATGGGTAATCAATTTCAGGGGGAAAGTCTGCACATCTCTAGGAAACAGTGATTGGTACTACCAATAAAGGTCATAATTAAACCTTTTAACTACAGGTGTTGAAGAGTTATTCAGAGATATGCCATTTTATGACTTGTAACGCCTTGTTTTGACATATTTAAGCAGCAAATGATAAAAAGAATTATTTAAAACTATCTCAGAATTGACACTAAAGTGGTTTTCTACACTATCACAGATCACCACACACACACACACACACACACACACACACACACACACACACAAAAAAAAAACCTGATGAATATTTTTCTATTTTGATTTCAGAACTGGAGTTGATATTTTAATTACTATTGGAATTAAAGTTATAAGAAGCATTTATTTAATATCTTAGTAAGAAATTTGGCATACTATTTAACAATAAATCACACTTTTTTCTATGTGAAAAATATTTATTTTTATTTTAACGTGAGTTTAGTCATACAAATATCACCAGGATTTTCCTATTCCAGTTTCTTTTTGTACATTTTAATTTCTAAATTATATTTTATTAGAAGAAAAATCACCATGATCTAGTAACACAATTGAGCATCATTTTCACTTACTCATTCTTTAATTAGCATTTTGATGAACTACATTAATTTTCTTATTTCTTTTTCTAGCACCTCTTATAACAAGGATATTTAGAAGGTGCTTTTTAAATGATGTACAACATCAATATCAAGAATAAGGTTAGACAGATTTCAGACTAGAATGCTGGCAAAGAGCGTTAGTCTAACCTGAGATACTGAGGCCACAGGGCTTAGAAGGAAGTTCTAACGCATCAAACCTCTGGAATGGCACAACCCCTGTTTTCACAAGGCTAAAGGGAAACTCAGTAGCATGGTGTTGGTGTTTTCATGGTGTGATGGAACCATTTATTTTTCAGATTTTCCTGCCTAGGGAAAAACAAAACAAAACAAGAGAACCTTCAAACTTTGTGGTTTGTTCATTTTATCTTTAGTGTGCTTTATTATTACCAATCGTAGTATTTTATACTGATGAAAATTATGATGAGGAAAATCTTACTAATACAATCAGCATCATCACTAAATATAGATGAGCCTTTCAATGACTAATAAACATTAAGAGGATGGATGCCTAGCGTTGCTGCTTTGTTCCTGAATGAGTCATTTCTGCTTTAGATTCCCACTTTTGTCTAAGATGCTCTATTACCACTACTACTACTACTACTACTACTACTACTACTACTACTACTACTACTAAAGATGCTCGTTGGTTCTGCTTCAAGTATCTTCACTTAGGTTTGCTGGGACACATCTTTGCATTGTCTCTTGAGAAGAAGATATTAAAGAATAGGAACATAGACAAATTTTGAAGCCAGTGGCCCAGCTATACCAGTATACATAGATATTTCTTTTTTGTTTTACACAGCAGTACTTCTGTAATAGACATGAGCCTTATCTCATGTGGTTGGGATAGAGGGGCACCAGTTTATGCTGTTGTAGAGATTTGCATTTATAACCCAGGGTTTATAATGTAGTATAGGGTTTTGATCACTTGCATTGTGTTCTTTCCTCTGGGGGTGCTCCTGAGAGCCCTTTGGGAGGTTCATCTTCACATTGCCATCCATGGTCCTACCTCATGAATTCACGAAAATGACACAGTGCTAGCAATGTGATTTGTGGTGCATGGACCAGATCTGTTTAAATTAAGTAACAGTCCCTGGTTTTCAGAAGTAAATGTGTTCTGGATATCTCGTAAGAGAGAGGATACTTACCTTAGTATTTCACTGGTTTTTCACTTGCAGAACCTCAGATGGTGGCAAAGTGGTCGGCACCATAGAAGTCAGCCTTGTGAAGATGGGGGAGATTGAGGATGGGGACACCGACCACATCACGACAGATGTGCAGGGACAAAAGGTAGGATTGCAGTCAGCTCATTGCACAGATTAAATTAGAAATGATAAGTTTGGCCAGAAGCCTGTGTTGCCAACATCCTGTGGGGTTTGAAATCTCATTATTCAAAAGCTAAATGAGAAATCATCCCTGGAATCAAGGCACAATATGTGCATTTCCTCTCTGAAGCAGAGTGCCCATTTCCCCAGAGCTTCTTAAAGCTTTGTGCCATTCAGAACACCTTTCTCTTCTGTGCCAGCCCCATGTTGATATGATCTCTTCTCAGCTGGAACAAAAGTGGAGATCGTTGTTGCATTCTGCCATGATTACCCTGCATGAGACGCAGGGAGGATCCTGGGAAAGCGACTGCCAAGCATAGCCTGCTCTTTATTCCCAAAGACACCTTTGGAAAGAGATGCAATTCTAATTTGAATTTTACATAAAGGAGGGCATATTTAACAGGAACTTTGTATTTTATAAAATTGCACAGAGAGAGGAGAGGGGAGAGAGAGAGGGAGGCGGAGGGAGAGAGGGAGAGAGAGAGAGCATAATAGAACAGAGACATAGGTCTGGAGGACAGTCAATGCCAGCAATATAATAAATAAAATAGAACAGTGGTTTTGAAGTCCGAACCTGAGGAAGATCTGCACAGGCCTTTCTCCTTCTTTTCCCCTTTCCGTAACGACAGCAATAACAACAGACAATATAAACATCAGCCTAATCTTTTCCTTACAAATGTAATTTTTATTGTATTAAAGCAATTAGGACACACAGTTCAGGCTTAAAAAACTTCCAAGAGTTTAATAGGAAGACATTTTATGCTATAATTTTAATATCAAAATGCTTTTTCATACTACAACTTATACTTTGTATTAAATGATCATTTTAATGTGACTTATTTTCTAGTTTGTTGCTCCTTAACATAGAATATGTATTAGTCAGGTTTCTATAAGGGAGCAGAGCTGAAACTGATAGTGTGTGTGTGTGTGTGTTATATGAGTATGGTCCAGGGAGACTGACAATGGCTGCCTCACACTGGAGAGGTGGAGAATTCAGCAGTTGTTCAGTCCATGGTGAGGCTGGATACCTCTGCGGTCCTGATCTGGTGCCAAAGGCCTGGAGGTTCCTGGAGCTCTCGGTCTTTATTCATGTTGGCATGCCAAAGAAGTTGGTTCTAACGTCAGGGAAGGAATGCCACAGCCACAGGACAGATGGAATTTCCAGCAAGAGTAAAGGCCAACAGGCAAAAAGCAATGTTTCTTCTTCTGTGTCCAGAAAGCTCTGGGCTGCCACCAGAAGGTACAGCCCACATTCAGGATGGATATCCCTGCTTCATATAATCTGCCTGAGGAACACCATCACAGGCAAGCCCACTCAGCTTGTGTCTCAGTTGATTCCAGTTGTAGTCAAGCTGACAACCAAGATGAGCCGGCATAGAATGTGCTTGACGTCTGAGCATTGGGAAATATCTACTTGGGAGATTATGTTTACCTAACACTTATAAAACATACTATTTATTGTAAAAAAATATCTAAGACTGTCTTTCAAAAACTGTTTCTCTTTTCCCTGATCAGGCTGCTTATTTCCTCTTTCCCCGAATGCATTCTCCTCTCCCATTCTCCAGGGGCCTCATCAGACACTGTGACGTAGGGGCCTCATCAGACACTGTGACGTATGCCAAGGCTGCCTTTGAAAGTAGGGCCATGACAAGTTTCTGCAGCAGATCTTTGGCTTTGTGCATTTGAGACATCTGGCCTGGGGCTGAGTCCTTCCACTCCAGCCACGTTCCCTGGAGCACATAAAGCTCATCGTTGCCACCACTACACACATTCTCCCGTTAGCTTGGACAAAAGACTATTCAAACTCTAAACTGGGCACCAAGTACTGAAGTAAGCAGACAGGCCTGCCTGAACCTGTAACAGTGTACCGAGACCCCAGCTGCCATAGCATCACCCCCATTTCAAAGATGAGCTGCTTTTCCTCATCTATCTGTCCCTGGATGGCCCTGTACTGACCAGCCCCTTGGTACCATTACTTGAACAAAGCCTTGTAAACTGAGGGATGCTGAGTCTATCTGTTCCAGAATGTGTCTGCTTTATCTCAACTGTTTGCCCACTCCTGGACTTGAGTGCACTGCTATGATAAGGTCATGCAGACTAAGGGCTGCTGGGTCTGCCCTGAGCCCCCTCTGGATCCTCCTCACAGTTCACCTGCCCTGTACTCTAGTTTAATAGTGTGACAAAACTGTGCAACCAGAGTGATGCTCTTTTCACAACTGTGGAACTTGTTACCCAGGATGCCCCACCAAAGTACCACATAATTTTTATGGGCCAGAAATGTGGATTCATAACAGATGAAATGGATTTTTTGTTTTTGATAGACATTGGCAGTCCCAGATGTGTGTCGGAAGTTAACAGAACTCATAAATACGCCAAACATTGTTGGCATAAACTTGGTCCTGTTTGGACTTTCAGCAAATCTTGACTTTTTGCAATTTTCTCTTTTATAAAATGACTTACAGTCTTCTGCCAACCCCTAAGAATATTTATGACTAAGTGATGAATGTATATTAAGTTCTCATGTATACAATATTCATATGAATTACATGAAAATAAATTTTATGTCAGCACTTTGCGACATGCTTTTAGAACGGCCAAGGATAAACTTCTCCATAGATCTTGCTACTCAAAATTGTTATAAAGTATATGACACTGTCTGTCACCAGAGCTCATCTAAATGTATGCAGCTGGTGACTGATAAAACATTTAGTCTAGGAGTTACTACTGAATAATAGCCATCTTTATAGTCTACATGGTTTTGAATGGTTGGGGAGATGGCCCATTTGATAATAGCACTAGCCAAACAAGCGTTTGAGACCCAGCACCCACTAAAAAGTTGAGCATGACTGTGAGTGCCTGTAACCCCAGCACTGTGGGCCTGGAGTAGAGACAGGCTGATCCTGAGAGCTTGCTGGCTAGTCAGCCTGGCCAAAATGGTGAGCTTCCTTTCAGTGAGAGACAGCCTCTCCAGACACTGAAATGAGAGTGATAGAGAGAAACACCCAAAGTTCTGCCCTCTCTTCCATGGTGTGCATGTGGAGACACACACACACACACACACACACACACACACACACACACACACACAGAAGAGGGAGAAGAAATCAGTAAATGAAAACTGCATGGACTTGAAAGGAAAGAGTAGAACTTTCTTAGCGCTGTAGTTGGTGTTTAAGGAAGTGTCACGTGTCACGTGTATTGAAACCTACAAAAGGCTGTCACTTGCATTGGACAGTTTGGGATTCCATAACAAAGTATGTGCTCTAGGTAACATAAAAAACAGTAGTTTATTTGTTATAGTTCTACGGTGTATAAACCTAAAAATCAATTTGCCAATTTGGTAACTTGATTCCTGGTGAGCAATATTAGTTGATTTAACTTGATTCCTGGTGAGCAGAATTGGTTGATTTAACCTGATTCCTGATGAGCAGTATTGGTTGATATAATTTGATTCCTACTGAGCAGTATTGGTTGATTTAATCAGTTGTGGGGGATGTTGTATGATTTTGTGTCATGGATCTAAATCTCCAGAGAACTGTGAATAGTCCCTTCAAAATTAGAATGCTATTAAGTTGAGATGATGCTATCTGCTTTCCAGTTTGGACGGGAGATGTGGGGTGGGAAGGTCCCATTTCTGTGTGTCCTTTGTCACAGATGAGGACCTTCTATTCGGTCCTCATCTTTATTTAATCGTAAAGTGGTCTTTGACGACAAAGCCAGTGCTGCCTCTATGGAGGAAAAACATATCTCAGAAGAACAGCCCTGATCTCTGTGAATTCAGTATTTTGTTAAAAAGGTTCCATATAGATCGCTCTGCTATACTCTGTTGACAGCATGCTTTTTCAAAAGACAATGTCTCAAAACTGTCTCTAATTATTTCATGGACAGCTGTCACACACACACACTGTTGAAGAGTTTCTACACCAGTCTGAGACCCTTAGATCTGACGTCAACACGTAGATACACATGCTGACACGATGATTACAGTACTCCTAAGTGATCATTTAACAGCTTTGTGGGAACTGAAAAGAGAAGAGAACATATTGGAAACGGGAGAAATGAGCCTGAAGTAGCCCAAGTCTCACTGCAAGGGTCTCCAGGGGTTTGAAGAGTACCTTTCCAGCTGGGCGGTGGTGGTGCATGCCTTTAATCCCAGCATTCAGGAGGCAGACGCAGGCAGATCTCTATGAGTTCGAGGCCAGCCTGGGCTACAGAGTGAGTTCCAGGACAGGCACCAAAGCTACACAGAGAAACCCTGTCTCGAAAAACCAAAAAAAAAAAAAAAAAGAAAGAAAGAAAGGAAAAAAAGAGTTCCAGCCTACCTGTGAGGGAAAGGAAGATGACCACAGATGACTTGTAGTTGGTTAGTTGGTTAGAAAAATTATTTAAAAGAATAAAGTCTGTAGTAACTTTTCTGTAAACTCAATACAGAAACTGCAAAATTGTATTAGCCAACTTACTGCATATTGTGGATAAATTTCACAGTCAAGGCATAAGTACTAGATAGAATTTAGTGCTATTAACAAAGACTTGGAATTTTTGTCTTCCTCTTCAAAAGTGTTTCAGGAATATGTGTATTCCTTTATTATGAAGGTTCTGTGTCTGAGCTTCTGGAAAAGACCAGTCGCTAGGGAAAGGAAGAAGGGGTGGAAATGAGGGTGAGGGGTTCATATTAGAGCAGACAGGAAATAGCCCAAGGAATTCTGGGTCACCTCCCTGGGGACAGGGTTCTGAGGCTGTAGATGCTTCCCTGAAGCATCTGGTGGGACCTACAGATGGATAATCATTTCCCTTAGATGCTCTCAACCTAAGAACATTCTAGGCCTTTTATTTGTTTTATTTATGTTGACTGTTGATATCTGGCATGCTTGCTGTGGAAATTCTCCCTGCTTCCTCTCCTCCTTGGCAGCAGAGGAAGGAACATTAGTCTCTCACCAGCCTCTTGGGGCTGGAAGAAGTTTGTTTCTTCTATTAGTTACAGCTTCGTAGGAAGACAAGTGAGGAAATGCTCGGGACACTGTCTCCTGCTATGCTTCGGTCACTGGGGACACTGTCCTCTTCTGTGCCTTCTTCTCCTTCTATCTAGAGAATTATTAGTTTCAGATGTTCTGAACTCTCAATCATTGGCTTTGCAAAGCAGGTTATTTATAATAATGCACCTCTTATTTTATGAGCTAGAGACAAAGAATATGTTTGTCCTATAAGTGAGATTATTCAATATGCTTTTGTTTTATTTTGATGTTTCCTTTACTTAAAATATAGGTAATGACATGGTGAAATTCACCAACGTGAAGGGAATGTAAATATTTGGGTCCTTGACTCACTTTCCTAAGGTTGTATATTTTGTTTTTGTGCTGAGCAACAGTCATTTTCTTCTTTTCAGTTATTCCTTGAGTGCCCTTTAACCAGAACTAAAGTGGACTCTGTAATTACACAGTCCAAGTGTATTAGATATAGACATGAGCAAATGGCCACAGTTTAAGCAAACAATACATTCAAGATGAAGTTAGAAACAATTTGTTTAAAACTCTTGAAATCACATGCCGAGCTCCATGTTGTTGCAAACAAAAGTAAATCATTTAGTCTCTTATTTCATTATTTTAAAGCGTGATTAATTTTTTTCTATTGATTCCTAGTGTGCACTAGCATATGAATGTACAGCACCAGAAAGTGTGAGCGTGAAGGACAACTTGCCTTTATTAAATGCAGGTATGTAACTCAACTTTGGATACTTGCATTAATGCTATGTGAACATGCATTTTCATTTCCTGTGGATTCTATGATGCTGAACTTGGGCAGCATCCTCTCAGAGGCACTTCTGAGTACTGAGTTCACACCGTGCTTGATGGAGTAAAACATAATGAATTATCAGTTTTCTCTTTTCATGGAGGTGACAGGTTTGGGGGTGACCATCCACTCATTTCTGAATATATTTCTAAATGTCTTAATCAAGGCAACCTCAAGGAATGTGCAGAATGTAAGATGTCAAAGGCTTCTTTTTAGTCACCTTATACTAGGCAGAATGAGGCCACTTGAGTCAGGGTCCTAAGGGTTAGAGTTTCCAAATTTAAGAAACCCAAACTACACATTAGACAGATAAGAAGTGCATTGTGCAGATGATAAAAAAAGTTACTATGACTTTGGCCTATGTGTTCCTGTCTTTCCTTCTCTTTATTTATCTATCTAAACTCAGCAGCTTTGGCATGAACCTGGTTAAATTCCCCTGTGGGAATTTTAATCTTTAGACAAAGGGAGCTATTGGCATTTTTCTCTAGGCTTTGCATTAATGTAGTCTATGCAACTTGGCAGTGTGGAGTGAGTTATGGATCCTTTCTGAGCAGGAGAGAATGTCATATCTACAATCTTCCATTTATAACTCTAGAGGTGTTATTCACTATTCAGGAAATTCTCTTGTCTATTGTAAAATGCAAAAACTGTTGACCTAAAGGTCTCATCCTTTCCCTGGTTTGTTGATGTTGCAAAATTGGATGTGTGTTGGGAATCTGGGGATCTGAGGGCAGCAGAGAAAACTCAAGGAGGAGCTTATAGGTCACGTAGAAAAGATCTGCAAGAACCTTAACTATATGAGAAAACAAGACCCTAGAAGCACAGCAAGTGTCACGTATGTGAAGCTCTGATAAAATTGCATATTATAATTATATAATACATACAATCAAGTTGGAAACATGTTGTTGGTTCCTTTTTGTTGCTGTGCTAAAACATAATCAGAAGTAACTTAAGGAAAAGTTTTTTTTGGGCTGATGGTTTCAGAGAGATAGGAGTCCATCCTGGTGGGGTGGCATGGCAGGAAGTGGCAGCATGGTAGCCAGAGCAGGAAGCTTGAGAGATCACATCTTCAACCCAAACAGGAAGCATAGTGAACTGGAAGTTGGGTGAAGCTATACACTCTCAAAACCCACTCTCAGCCATGTGTTTCCTCCTGCAAGACGACCTCCCCAGATTCCATAATCATCTCAAACAGCACTACCCACTAAGTACTAAACATTCCCACACTTCAACAGTTCTCATTATTTATTTAAGCACGGTGGTAATTAGAAAGTTAAAATTGTTTTATGTTGGGGAATGGGGAATTGGGAGAATTAATTTGGAACTTGAAGTATAGCTGGTAGCTTGTCCTACAGTCAGTAGGTTGGGCTTTCCTGCCTAGGCACCTCCTTTGCCTCTGTGCTTCTGAGTAGCAGACAGGTTCCTGTAGTGTTGGAAGATGCTTGCATTGTTAAAGCAGGAGCATAGATAGTCAAGCTTCCAGAACTGGTGTCCAAGCCTCAGCTTGCCAAGGAGCAAGGTGACCTAGCTGGCATTCAGCCTTTGCATGTCAGTGACCAAATTCTCCTGAGCAGCCTTGGGCTTCCCCTGTGAAATCTTGTTCTGCTTTGTGTGTGAGTGCATGTGTGGCTGGGTATGCGCACCTCTGCATGCATGTGTCTAGGCCAGAGGTGGGCTGTAGGTGTCTTCCTCAACTGCTCCTCACCATGTTTTTTTTGAAACAAGATTTGACACTGAACCCAGAGTTCCCAGTTTCATCTAAACTGGCTGCCTTCAGGCACCTGGAGTCAGTCTGTCTTGTTGGCTGCAAACTTTTCCTCAGTGCTTTGCATGGAAGCTTAGGATTGAAACCCAAGCCCACAAGCGTGTGTAGTAAGGATCTTACCACTGAGCCATCTCCCCAGACCTGGCTTCTTTTTGAATCTTAAATGTTTGAATTGAATGCAGCAAGCATAATTTTGCTTTTGAAAATTTCCCATCTTTTTCAAAATGCTCCATAAGCATGTTCATTTGATGCACTTTCTTGTGGAGCCACACACGAACTCTTAATCCATTGTAATTATTTTTTTTCGGGAATTCTCATTTACATCCAAAACATTTAAAATTTTTTGAGGAAATGATTCTCTCTGTATTGTCAAATATGTACACATATTTTATATTTTTGAAGAGCAATTAATCCTCTAAATCTTTTATTAGGATGTTAAATCAGTCTGGTGAATGACCCTGTTATGAGTTTCTGGCTGTCAGCAAGTGTGAGTTTTGACGAAGCATCGTCCTTGAATACATCCCTATTTATTGAGTCATGAAATGAGCCTTTGTCCTTTAAAGACTACTGTCATGTTGTATATTAAGACATCACTGCCCTTCCTATTCTGGGAGGGCATACTTATCAAACACTGGTTATTTCTAGGCGTGTAAGTGGACCCTAAACAGACATAGGGAATGTGCCCATGTCATCCACCAATACATACAGACTATCTTTCTATTTAGGGTATTGACTAGTTCTTTTTGATTCAGACATGAACCACAACCTTTCTCCAATTAGGCCCAGTGTGTAGCGTCAGCCACTGTCTGCTCCACTTTGCAGTGATGTAGACTGCCAGCTACTGCAGAGGCGCCGCTTCCATGTCTTCATTTGGAAACGTGCTGCACACATTAACAAACGTGGGGCCCTTAAGCCTGGCCAATTGCTGTGGGATGTTTTGTATGGCAAATGTGTTGCTGATTAGTCAATAAATAAAACACTGATTGGCCACTGGCTAGGCAGGAAGTGTAGGCGGGACAAGGAGGAGAATAAAGCTGGGAAGTGGAAGGCTGAGTCAGAGAGACACTGCCAGCCACCACAATGAGAAACAGCATGTGAAAGTACCGGTAAGCCACAAGCCACGTGGTGTAGCTTAAGTTTTCCTGCCCTGCCCACAGTCAGGATAAATCTCTCTCACCTGCCAGTCCCACAGCTACTCAGACCCGACCAAGAAAACACAGAGACTTATATTGCTTACAAACTGTATGGTCGTGGCAGGCTTCTTGCTAACTGTTCTTACAGCTTAAATTAATCCATTTCCATTAATCTGTACCTTGACACATGGCTCGTGGCTTACCGGCATCTTCACATGCTGTTTCTCATTGTGGTGGCTGGCAGTGTCTCTCTGACTCAGCCTTCCACTTCCCAGCTTTATTCTCCTCCTTGTCCCGCCTACACTTCCTGCCTAGCCAATGGCCAATCAGTGTTTTATTTATTGACTAATCAGCAACACATTTGCCATACAAAAGCCAATTCAATTTCACAATGTTTAGTAATAACCCTTTTCTCCTGACATAATACAAATCTTCAGCCCTGTAGAACCTGACCAATAATTTATTGGTAAAATAAAGTTTAGTTATTAAATAGTAGTTTCAGTCCTGGTGAATGCACAGCTTTGAGATTTCAAGTGAGCCTGACAAAACAGTCAGTTCTTCCACATGGTCCTTTATTTAACAGTCATCCCAAACCAGAGAAGGAGGGTGGGGGGAGAGAAGGTGGGTTGGAGAGAAAGAGAGAAACTTTTATTATTTCAGCTTCCTTGGGAATGGACTTCCAGCTCCAGAAAGGCGTGGGTGGGTGGGGGCTTGATATATCTATGTCTTCTCAATGGTACTTTCTTAAGACACAAGGCACCCAAGACGAGCTTTCTTGTGATGATGATGGTCATTGGCCAGTGACAGGCACACATGGAAATAGAATGGGCCTAGAGTAGCAAGGAGCCCAGAAGTCCTGAGAGCAGGTGCCATGAGAGCACTTGAATCAGCGATACATTCTTCGCTCTCAAATACATGACTCTTCCATCACAGAATACCATAGGAAATTGATAACACCTTGTCAAATGATCAGTGATACATGTTCTTGCTAGATTATATGCTTCATTTAACAGATAATTGCATTTAAGGTTTGAATAATAGAATTTGTTTTCTTTAAAAATCACTGTGAAATTCGTGTGTGTGTGTGTGTGTGTGTGTGTGTGTGTGTGTGTGTGTGTGTGTGTGTGTGCACATGTGTTTGATAATATCTTGCTCTGTATCCCAGGCTATCTCAGGACTTACAATGCTTCTTGCTCTGCCCTCCCCATATACTACAGTTATAGGCAGGTTCCACCTCAGCATTTTTTCTAGTTTATGTGTTGCCTTAGGATTTAATTGCTTTCACAGAAACACATAACTAAACTAAACACTGGGTTAGTTTTCTCCTCACTAATGCCCTATCCATGATTTAGTATACCTTGAGGCTGTAAAAATATTCACCCTGTTCATTCTGGGTGCTCATGGATTCCAGCTAGTTATCAGCTCTCCAGTATTTTTCCTTTTCGCTTATTTTCATGCAGAACTAAGACAGTTACCTTGTCAAGTGTAAGATGATGCCATTTTATGTCAGAGATGGTGTTTTGCTATACTAGTTTAAGTGATCTATACCTGTGTGATTGTTACTCTGTAAATGACAGAATCAGAATAAAACAATCAGAATCTTGTATTAATTACAAACTGTTTGGCCTGTTACTCAGGCTTATCATTAACTAGCTCTTACAACTTAAATTAACCCATTTCTATTAATCTGTGTTTTGCCACGTGTCTTGTGGCTTTACCTGTGCTCTAATACATCTTGCTCCTCTGGTGGCTGGCTAGCTGGTGTCTGTTTTGACTCTGCCCTTCTTCTCCCTCTATCTCTGCTTGGATTTTCCACCTGGCTCTATCCTGCCTTGCTGTGGGCCAAAGCAGCTATTTTAGTAACCAATGGGAATAAAACATATTCACAACATACAAAAGGATTATCTCACAGCATTACTCTAATTATAAAACTTAGGGCTATTTTGACTTATAACTCTGGTCCTTATTCCTCTTATTTCTTTATCTTTTAATTAGCTTACCAAACAGTGGTTTTCTCTGTGACA